TGGTCCACGATTAAGAAATGTAACTTGTTCCTGTGATAGATGATGTGATGTGTCTTGAACTATTGATGGTGAACAAGTGATATTTGATTTTTGGATAGGAATGCCCCGACGATCGATCCAATCTAATTCTTGACCGTCGGAGCTTTGACGAAAAAACGTAGTTTTAATTTGTAAAGATATATAAGACGTTCATTTATATTCTGAAAACGTCGTTCCATTATATTCAACATTGTTTGAGTTAATTTTTTATGTGATGGACCAGAAGATTGATTTTCTTTCATTTTAGCCAAGTCTGTATCGAATTTCTTTCCATATTCATTCATTTTTGCTTCGGCTGATGTAATATAAATCATCATCATTTCGGATTTCGTTCGTTGTAAAATTTTCTCACATCGATCCTTTAAACGTTGACGCGTCATCGTACCAGTAAGTGTATCGAATGATATGGGTGGAGGTATTTTAAGTGATTCAAATGATTGTGGTAAATGATTATAAGCAATACGTTGTTTTAATACTGCTACATCAAATTTAGATGTTTCTTTTTCATATTTGGCTTGAGTAAGATTTTCAAATATTTGTTTTTGATATTCATTTGGATTTTGTTGATAATATTCTAATTAAATCAATCGATCATTATAATCATATTGAACGATAGCAATTTGTTCTTCTGTAGGTACTTTATATATAGGTGTGACATGTTGTTGAACAAATTTAGTAGTAGCTTCTCCGATTTCACATGTCCAACAATTGTTTAAACGTTTTTTTCTTTCTTTCAATTGAGCTTGATAATGTTCAGTTTGGTTTCGAAATTTTTGTAGTACTCTCTGAACAGAATTCAAACAAGAAGCATGATCTATTTCATTTGGATCAGATGCAGTTGTTTGACCACGATCTATCATTCTCTGTTTAACTTCTAAAGGCCATAATAAGAGTGTCGATGCTGTTGCTTGTGGCTTTCATGTACCTGTCCCAGAACGTAAATATGTCGTCCATAGTAATCTATCAAGATTAATGCATTCAAGTTGGTGAATAAGAATAGCAATCTCTCGTAAATATTCAATATTGATAGAAGTTGTTGTTGTTGTTTTTTCAAGTATAGGATTGATCATTTGTTCAAATGCTTTATTATGACTTGATAAATATCTTGGTATTTGATTACTAGTTGATTCTTCGTTATCGGGTTTCATTTTTTTCGATATGTTATCTGTTGTTGTA